TTTTTGGTGTATTATAATGAAAGTGTTTTTTAATACTTTTGAAGTAATGTTGTGATGATAAGTTATTTAATTATTAAATAGTTTGAATTAAAATATGTATTTAGACAAGAATAGTGATAGAGTTAAATATTATAACAAATAATTACGCTTAGTGTAATGGAATTTACTTAATAGGTTGCCTAATCATTTAATGTGATTTAAGGCAATTGTGAATTTTTATTTAGAAGTTGTTCACCAAATGATATCTTTAAATCATTAGGTTGAATATAAAACATATCGACGGATACAAGATTCATAATGTCAAATAAGTCGTAAATAATGATACTTTTTTTGTTCAAAAAAAATTTTTTCTTTTTTTTTTTTTTTTTGATGAGAATATTCTTTTGTACGATTCAAAATTTTTACAATAGTAATGTTGGAATAAATAAGGAAATTCTCGTGAAAACAAAATCTAAAATTTTTACAAGATGTGCTTAAAGCTATAATATTAATTACAGAAGGACTTATCACATCATTTGTATATTTTGAAGATTACTAGGATTACCAGGACCAAATCCTTTAGCAGGTTTATATTTAAACTCAGAATCCCCAAAATTAACCTCTAATTCACAAGATCCATCAGTACCAACAGATGGATACCAAGTGTGCTTTACCTCATTGCCACTGAATGCTACAGATAAGAATTTTCCATTTTTTGTGAAAAATACTTCACCATCGTCAGGTCTATATCCACATCCAATTGTATCGCCTTTACCCCATGGTTCACTGTAGCTAACTCCTCCTTTATGAGGATCGCTATGAAATTTTCGACCGTCATCAGAATGGTATGCAATAGAGTTTACATGATATCCAGGAAGCCTAGAAATATTGAAATTTAGTATATCTTTCCTTATGCGATATTTTTAAAAATAAAACGCATACATATACATATACGTATACATATATATATATATATATGTATATATACATATGTTTCACCTGAAGTATGGATAAGGTTTTGTGGTCAAACCGATTGATATAGTGTTTACTTGACTCGACATTGACTTTACGGTAACTTCAAAATAATTCATCACATCATCAAATCCAAACTCTCCACTTATAAAAAATGGATAATTGGTTTGTATCATAGATTCTATATTTTTTTCAGTACTCTTAAAAAAGAATTCTATCCATTTTCCTTCAGATTTAATTAAACTATGTCCTCCACTTTTAAATTCCCAAGCAGAATAACCCTTTTTATCCTGTATTTCTTTATAGGGTGGCAATTCTTCACTAGGAGGACGTGCTCTAATATACTCCATTGCCCGACGATAAGCATCAGTAGTAACATCAGTTTTGTTAGGTTTAGCTTCTTCTAACCAAGTTGATTTCCTTCTTCGTCTCGGTCTGCATGTGGCAGGAACACAGAGGTAGAGTACTAGCATTAAAGCTATTACTACTACTGCGCTAAAAACTAACCACAATTTCATACATGCCACATCACAACCACTGATAATAGTAGTTGCATTTGGGGATGTGGAGCCAATGGTGGTATTGATTGCAGTAGTATCATCGTAATATAGGAACGAATCATCATTTTCGTCTGTGGGAAAAGACCCCATGTTACCAGGATCACTTGAAAGCTTATCGTCAATCGATATTACAAAGGATTGAAGTAAAATAGTGAAGATTATAATGAGCAAAATATTTAATATTAAAACGCGAGAATTAACTAAATTATGATACTTTAAAATGAATTGGCAACATGGATTCATAATTTTTTTTTAAGTGACCAAAAAAAAAAATTATTTCTATTATTATTTCCAAAGATGAAATGCAATTAAATTAGATTCATTGATGATTCGAGTTTCTTGTAATAATAGTTCGAACCAAGTATAAAAACAAACGTTATTTTTTCTTTTCGTTTCTCATACAATAAATAAATAATAGTGGCTGAGCTGACCGGCAACTGACTTTGCCTCATTCAAAAAGTAAGAAAAAATCAGGCTTCATAGAAACTACCACTACTATTTTAAACATTTTTATAAACGATAAAACCAGGGTTATCCTGATATTTGCCAATATCAAGTTACTATTAACGTAATAATTAACATCATGTGTTAACTTCGTATAATTATTGTTATCCAACTTAAATGTGATTACTAATAACGTTAAAAAAAAAAAAAAAAAAAAATCATTAAATACTTCGCGAAAATCGTGAACATTGTTTGTTTAGAGGCTTATTTGACATCGCCAACAAAACATGCATAAAAATAATAAACGAGTCGATAGAAAATGCAGTTTCAGGGCGTATTAATTGGGGTTTTTTTTTTCCTCTTTCTGATTTTACCATCAAAGTAAATTAGGCCAAAGATCTGAGGGACATTAGTTTGGATGCTCACTTTTGATCCGGGTGATTATACTTATACTTGCTGGCAAAACTATTGGGATTTGGGATGATTTTTATTATATTTGGGATGGGATTTGGGCTTGGGGATTTGGGATTTGGGATTTGGGATTTGGGATTTGGGATTTGGGATTTGGGATTTGGGATTTGGGATTTGGGATTTGGGA